TCAATCATAGCCCATGTCAATCAATCAATCACAACCCACTTAATCAAGCATAGCTCATATCAATCACAACCCACCACAATCAATCACAACCCACCTCAAATCAAGCATACCCCATGTCAATCAATCAATCAATCATAACCCACCTCAATCAAATCAAGCATAGCCTATGTCAATCAATTACAACCCCTCAAATCAATCATAGCCAATGTCAATCAATCACAACCCACTTAATCAAGCATAGCTCATATCAATCACAACCCACCTCAAATCAAGCATAGCCCATGTCAATCAATCAATCAATCACAACCCACCTCTGCCCAATCAATCCATCCATCCACATCACACACACCCTGAATTAAAAATGGTCCAATTCAGTCAATCCAACCAATACTTGAAGCACTTTCACAAATATAGCCACAAGAGATAAATATTTCCTTTTTAAAAAAACAACACAATTTATTTAATGAAAAAAAACAACAACACAAGGAAGTAGTTGAGAGACAATGAAACCCCAAAGAAAAAAAACGCCAATCCGGCTACGAACTCAGAAATTCTGAATATGGATCATGGGGGAGAGGAGGGGAGGGGAAAAAAAAAAATGAAATTTGCATTCCAAACGAAGGAGAGAAACCAGCAGAGTTACCAAAAAAAGAAAAAAGAAAAAAAAAAAAAGTGTATATACAAAACTCATATTTATGTACAGTAGCCGAGATACAGACCACGCTGGAAATTCCCCATCGTCCCAAAATCAAAAAGGATGTGCAAATTCGACACAGCGTGTACAAGAAAACACCGGCGGTCCTTGAATGGAGTTCACTGTAAGTCAAGACCGGGGGAGGGGCTTGGCGGCGAGGAGGCAAAGACGGGGACTTTTTGGTGGAGATACCCACAGCCCAAAATTGGAGGCCACCATTTTGTTGAGTTCCTTTTGCAGAACGGAAGAGTGGCCTGGGTCTCCATCGTAACTACCCTTAGGATCGCATCCCGCCTCTTGACTTCCGTTCCGGGAGAAGTTCTTCCGCCGTTCTCACAGTCTTCTGGGCCGCTGGCTTGGCGGTCCGTAGCTCAGGAGCATGGGCCTTTTGACCGGGGTCATCTTCCGATACTCCAAACCCTGGGGAGTCGGATGGGGATTTGGAGCAGGAGAGGTGTTGAGACTCGACGGTTTCTCGGATCCTTTTTCTTGCCAAATTTTGGGCAAGGCGATGCAATTCCTCGTTCCAAAGCCCCCCTCTGGAGCAGCAGGAATATTCAGAATTGTGCTTAAATTATAGAAGTCCTCTGCCCTAGAGGGAGGGATGTGGATGGCATGGGGGGATAGAGGGGTATCGTCCCCTTGGAACCCAAAATCTGCTGGGGTGGGGGAACAGATCGGTGGTGAAATGCGAACGGTTCACACCGGTTCAATCAACCCGGTAGCAAAAAAAATAATAATGCTACCAGTTGTGCCCAAAAGCAAGCTCTGATGATCGAAGAAAAGCGCAGGATTGGCCCTTCCACCCACCTGTCTGCTTTTTCCTCTTCTTGATCCTCTCAGCCAATTGGCGCGGCTGGTGTTTGGAAAGCTCTTGCGTGCGACGTGCGCGATCCCCAAACCAGGTAGGGAAACTGGTAGAATCCCACCACTGGAACAGGTGGGCCAACTCCCGACAAAAGAAGCCAAAATCAAGGAGGAAAAATAAAAATAAAATAGAAATATGGGGATTGTAGATGCTGAGATTTAAACCAGGGAAGTGAGATCCTTTCTAAGCTGGCTGATCCCCTACAAGGTTTGAAGGGGATCTCGCTAATCGGAACCTTGTTGCTGGCTGCTCTCATTATTTTTAACCTTTTAATCCCAAATTCTGAGATTCTCTCGTCAGGGGGAAAACTTGGGAAAGATTGGGACAGCAAGCTGCACACCCTGTTGGGGTGGTGGGTGGGTGTGTCAAAACCCACCCGGTGTGGGTTTATTGAAGAACTCCCTAAAAAGCGGGTAGGATTTGTTTTATTGCTGATTAAACAGTAAAACAATTGCAGATTTGTTTTATTGCTGATTATTGGCGATCGAGAGGTCTGAGCTTGCTTAAAGGGAAAAATTAAAACAAAATAAAAAATAAAGGAGCGGAGGTTAAGACAGCATCTGTTTATCCCCTGGAATTGCGGCCTTTTCGTTTTTTAGAGGAGTGTGAAAAGGGATGATACAAAAAGACAGCGTGGGAAGGAAGCGATCGGAGCGAAACAGTGAAGAGATCCTCAGATTTACACCGGAGCATTGATCTTAAAAATGAATTTTTTTTTTCCCCCTTGGAGCAAGGCCGTAAAGTGATTTCTATTCCTAAATTTGCCGGGCTGATGTACCACATTCTCGCTACAAAATCCGTTTTTTTTTTTTTTCCTCCTTTCCAAATCGTGGGCTTTTGAACGAAGAAAATCCAGCAGGCTTTGGGGATCGTGGGAATTATTCCGCCCGGAGTTCTTTTTTTTTGCCAATTCTTGGGGTTTCTTTCCTTGTGTGTGTGTGTGTGTTGGGGGAGGGGGGAACAACGAGACAGGAATGAGGCTGGGGTCCTACCTTGCAAACAGGTGGAGATGCTGAATGGCTTCCCTTGCCGTGGGGTTGTGCTTCTACAAAAGCCAAAACGAGACCAAAAAAAAGAAAAAAGAAAAAATCGGGATAGCATCTCGAGGGTGGTCAGATGGCTCAGCAGAGGATGGAACACGGTTTTCCCGCGGATCACAAGTTCGCTGACAAGCTGTTTCGGAAGACTCCGGCACCGTGGTGCCGACCCAGAACAAGGAAGAGAAATGGTCCAGGGTCCAATGGGTGGACGGGAGAGATCTGGAGTGATCAGAAGAATGGGTTCTCGAATGGTGGCACGCTCAGCACGGATGAGAGGCCACGGGAGGCCCAGAGCACAATGTGGCAGTACGCGTTATAAAAGCAGTCGGCGGGCCAGGTACTTGGCTGGATCGAAAACAACCCCCCCCATCTGATTTTTTTTGGGGGGGGTTTGGGACCCTCCATCCCTCCCTCCCACCCCACCCCCTCTCCAGCAAAGCCCGATCGAGACACAGGAAACGCGACACGGTTGAAGGGAGCTTTAGCGCAGCTCTCGGTTGGTGGATGGTTCGGATGGAGGGTGGCGCTGCGACGGAGCCAGGAGGGCGCGGGAAGGTGGTCCTTGCCGTTCCTCCTCCCCCTTTTTTTCAGGCTGGCTTGGTGCCAAAAAGTCCCACGGGGAAGTGCTTGACGTGGGTGGGCCACTGGGCGGCCAGCTGAAAGAACTTGATGTCGCTCCATTCCACTCCGTCGATGGAAACTACGAAACAACGGAGAGAGTTTTTGGACAGTGCTCTAGTCCCGCCTTAGGTATGAAAGCTGGCTGGGTGACTTTGAGCCAATAACCAGGAGACAGGGAGTTCTAGTTCCGCCTTAGACACAAAAGCCAGCTGGCTGACTTTGGGCCAATCACCAGGAGACCGGGAGTTCTAGTCCAACCTTGGGAGGAGGGAGGGAGATTAGGTCTATCCACTGCCTTCAGTTCTCCTTGGTCTGGACTCTGTGTCTCATCTGCTTCGAAATCTTTTTCCAGGGGACGATCACGAGTCCCACTCCCACCACACCACACCACTGCCCAAAACACCCCACCTAGGCCTTACCTTTCAGCATGGTCTGCTGCTGTTTGGCTGAGCAGATGAGCCGGCTGATGCCGTCAATCATTTGGCTCTTGGAATCGACTTCTCTCTCTTTGGGTTTCTTGCTCAGGAAAATGGTGGGCACTAGGAGGAGGAGGAGAGAGAGGCACCCCATCAGTTGGGGACAACTGGGTGCCGCCGGAAAGTGACAAGAATGGGGGTCAGCGTTCCAGCAACCCTCCACTCCAACCAGTAATTCTGAGACAAGCATCTTTCTCAAAAGTTCTGTTTTAATTGGGTAGTAAACTGGCCCGTCTGGGGAAATCCCGAATCTGAAAGTTCCGGGCCTTCCTTGCAATAAATAACAAATAAATAATAAATAAAAACTACAAATCCCTGCACCCATCATCATCGTCCTATCCCATGGCCCATTTCTGCACCTGATTGAGAGCATGTCACAAGTCGGGACGGACGGCCCAATCTCCATCCGTCCCAACTTGAGGCTTCCTCTCACTCAGGTGCAGAAATCGCATGACCTTGAATTAGAAAAAAAGAATGTTATGACGTCTAACTACCTTACACTCCCAAAGAAATTCCCTCCTCCCCACTTTCCCAGGCTCAAAACGTGACAGCGTGGGAGCAGCGTGGTCTCAATACGGTTTCCATTAAAGCTGAACAACAGGACGATCCCTTTGGACAAAGGCCGCAGGGGGCTAGTCCTCAAGGATCCTCGGGAGGGAGTGTGGGGCGACCTAAGTGGCCGCCCTTCGGGGAATCCCGCCGGGTGCTTCTCCAGGTGGAGGGAGGGAGGGAGAGAGAGAGAGAGAGAGAGAGAGACTCTGTCCTCCACCCCCTACCCTTCTTGTTCTTCTCCTTGGTGACGACGGTCATAGCCATGGTCCCCGAGGGCTGGGTCTCCCCGCTGTTGGGAAGCCGCGAGACTTGGACCGAACGGAAGACGCTCTTCAAGGTGTTCTTGGAGCTGCTATCCTTCTTCTCCCCTTCCTTCCTCTTCTCCGTGGGTTGAGCCAGCCAGTAATCCACCTGCAGGCCAATCACATCACTGTAAGGGCTGCCGGGAGACCTGGGGAATCCGGAAGAAGAAAGGAGGAAGAAGAGCGGGGCAGGTGAGTCGATCCGGCGCTGCCAGGCAGCGCCCACATTCCCCCCTCCCCCTCCCCAAAAGATGACAGCGAGAGAAATGGAGGAGGAAGCCTCAAGCCAGGGGCGGGAGGGTGGGGTGAAACCTCCAGTAACCCAAGGACGGCCAAGCATGGGAGCCGCAGCGCCTAGGTTGCTACTTCCTGCCTGGAAAACAGGAAGTTCTTTTTTTTTTTTTTTGCCAAGCGTGGACGGGGCGGGAGGTGGCACTGACCTTGGGAGGTGGGGGGAAAGGATGCTGCCTAGGGAAGGATCAGATAAGAGGGAGCCTAGCCCACAGCTGTATAACGGGCAGAGAAAGAGACTCAGAAAGGAGCCGCCGTAACTTCTCAGGCTGGAAAAGAGACAGCGGGAGATGGGTGCTTTTCAGACGTGCGAGGTTCGGTTAAGGAAGCCTTACAATCAAATAAAGAGAACTGAAGCCCTTCTGGGCGGGCGGGTTTGTTTGTCCCACCTCCACCTCCACCCCCCCACCCCCCACCTGGTCTATATTACAGGGCTCTTCAAAACTTGACAGCTTTCAGACTTGTGGACTTCAACTCCCAGAATTCCTCCTCCTCCTCCAGTCATGTGAGCTCAGCAATTCTGGGAGTTGGAAGTCTGCAAGTCTTAAACTTGCCAAGTTGGAAGACCCTTGCTCTATTCTTTCTTTCTTTCTTTCTTTCTTTCTTTCTTTCTTTCTTTCTTTCTTTCTTTCTTTCTTTCTTTCTTTTTCTTTCTTTCCTTCTCTCTCTCTCTCTCTCTCCTCTTCCTTCCTTCCTTCCTTCCTTCCTTCCTTCCCTCTTTCTTTCCTTCCTTCCTTCCTTCTTTCCTTCCTTCCTATCTATACCTCTATCATCTATCTATCTATCTATCTATCTATCTATCTATCTATCTATCCATCCATCCATCCATCCATCCATCCATCCATCCACCTACTCTCTCTCTCTCTCTCTCTCATCTACTCTCTCTCTCTCTCTCTCCTTCTCTATCTATTCCAGGGGTCTTCAAACTTGATAACTTTCAAGACTTGTGGACTCCAACTCCCAGAATTCCTCCTCCTCCAGGCGTGTGAGCTCGGGAATTCTGGGAGTTGGAAGTCAGCAAGTCTTCAACTTGCCAAGTTTGAAGGCCCTTGGGTGACACAAAGGCTAACATGGGGTGTTACTATCGCTCTTTCTTTTACAGCGGTAATTCTTTCTTCTCACAAGATCCTGAGGAGGGAGGTGATGTTTGGGGGGGAATCTCTTGGTGGCCTCCTGTCCCAACAGCCAACGAGCCTGAGATTTTTCCAAGCTTTTTAAGAGTAGAAATGTGAGGTTTTGCAAAGAGATAGGACAAGTGAAGGATGGAAGGATTTCAAGTGCCAGAATTTCCCAGCCAGAATGCTGCCTGGGGGGATTCTGGGAGTTGAGGTCCACCTGTCCGAAGGTCGCAAAAGGGGATCGCGTGAGCCCAGGAACGCTACAACCACCATAAATACGAGTCAGTGGCCAAGCGTCTGAATTTTGATCGGGTTGACCACGGGGAAGCCACGAAGGTCGTCAGTGCCATTGTAACATGGAACGGTCGCTAAATGAACTACCTGCATCTGTGGTAACAGGTAGTCGGGTTTGCAATGGATGAAGAATTCAAGAAGGTCATATTAAGTTATCAGTGAGATTTTGAAATACGCCGTTTTCCTGAGAATGGAATAAGTGTTGTATATATTAATTATTAAGGCCATTTAAGCCAGCAACAGGGACACTGTGACCGTCGTAAATAAGAGACACTTGTCAAGCGCCTGAATTTTGACTGTGACTGTGGGGATGGGGGCGGCGGCTGCGTGAAAACGGCCCTAAGTCCCTTTTTCCGGCGCCTTTTTAACTTCGAGCGGTCAGTAAATGAATCACTGTAAGTCGGGGGTCACCTGTGCTGATTTTAGAGTCATCGAGGGGCCTAGAGATAGCGCTCTCACCTCACCATCAGGAGGCCGTGAGTTCGATCCTAGGTTGGAGGCGGATATTTCACTCTTTCTGGGCACCGTGGGAATATTACCGGCAGAACAAAACTCCGCCCTGGTGACGGGAAGGGCATCTGGCCAGTAAAAACACTCCGCCCCGTTCAGTTAGCCCAGACTCCACCCCCATGCAAGTGATTACGGGGTCGTTAATAGAGGACGATGACTACTGAGGGGGCGGCACAAGGAATTTATTCCCTGTTCTGAAGCGCCAGGTGTGTGTGTGTGTGTCCGACACGAAGTCTTTGCAAAGACCAGGAGAAGCGAACGTCGCCACGCCAAAATCTGGGGGGTCTCCTGACCTACTTACCCCACCACAGCCAAGCCGCTGGTCATTGAGGGGGAGGACGGCGGGGTGGCAGATACGTCCTTGGTGAGGCCTGACGTTGAAGGCGGAGAAGTGGAGGGGACGGTGAGGCTGATGACCGGGGAATCGTCCCCTTCGCCTGTCAAAGGAAGGAAAGGATGAAGGTTTTGTCTCGAGGACGCCGCCTTCCCTTCCACCTGCGACTTGGGTTGTTCTCGACCTCATCCACCTGAAGGTGCGTGGACTTCGATTCCCAGAATTCCCCAGCCGGCACGAGCCCCCTTTTATCCTCCGGAAAGATGGTATAAAATACCACCCAGGTCTCTTTTTTCCCCCGTTATCGAGAAGGGCCGCCTATTTTCTAGGCAGCAACGGATGCCGTCGCTGGGAAATGGGGAGTGAGGACAGCCAGCGATATTGGGATACAAGGAGCACCTGGGTGAGGCCAGTCTTATAGAAATAATAAAGGTGGGGTAAAAATTAATAATAACAATAAAGGAAGGGAAGGGAAGAGAATATAGAAAAATAGAACAGAAAAGAAAACAAGATAATATAGAATAGAATGTAGAAAAGAATAGAATAGAGAAGAGAGAATAGAATAGAATAGAAAAAGAAACAGAATAGAAATAGAATAGAAATAGAAATAGAATAGAATAGAAATAGAATAGAAATAGAATAGAATAGAAATAGAATAGAAATAGAAATAGAAGAGAGAATAGAACAGAAATAGAATATAGAAAATAGAATAGAAAAGAAAACAAGATAATATAAAATAGAATGTAGAAAAGAATAGAATAGAGAAAAGAGAATAGAATAGAATAGAATAGAATAGAATAGAATTAGAAATAGAAGAGAGAATAGAACAGAAATAGAATATAGAAAATAGAATAGAAAACAAGATAATATAAAATAGAATGTAGAAAAGAATAGAATAGAGAGAATAGAATAGAATAGAATAGAATAGAATAGAAATAGAAATAGAAATAGAAGAGAATAGAATAGAACAGAAATAGAATATAGAAAATAGAATAGAGTAGAATAGAGAAGAGAACAGAGAAGATGGAACAGAACAGAAAATAGAACGGAATGGAACGGAACGGAACAGAATATAAAAGGGCAGAATTTTAATTTAGATAAATACCTGCTGCTGAAGGTGAATCTTCAATGAGGCCGACCTTAACCACCTGGAAGAGGAAGAAAGAAAGCACAGACTGTGAATCCTTGCCACAGCGAAACTCAGGAGCCTGCAGGTGGAAGCCAAACCTCCCTAAGGGAAGACACTTATACGCGCGCACACACACACACGAAAACCCCTACCTATATAAGTTGGGTATTTTATTCACCCCACCCTGACAAGCCAACAGGACTGTGGCGGCTTTTGCCCTGGAGGAAAATCCGTGCAAGGATGACAACCCCGTGCACCTTTCTCCACCGCTTAATCCTGTGACGGGCAAGCTTTCGTGGCTGACTGCGCCTGCGAGTCGCTTCGCGGCCTGACCGCAAGGTTGACTCGGATATCCGTGATGTCTCACGATGGACAAAAAAGTTTCTAAACAAATCAGGGAAAGCGGCATCTTTCTGGAAAATATGAATCCAGGAGTTCCTAGCAAGCATCTTCATTTCTTGGCGGGGGGGGGGAAACAGTTCTTCCCGGTGGCCAGTTCAAGGAAGGAAGGAAGGGAGGGAGGGAGGGAGGGAGGGAGGAAGGAAGGAAGGAAGGGAGGAGGAAGGGAGGAAGGAAGGGAGGGAGGAAGGACATGGAGGGAAGGAAGGGAGGGAGGAAGGAAGGAAGAAGGAAGAAGGAAGAAGGGAGGAAGGGAGGAAAGGAGGGAGGAGGGAAGGAGGGAGAGAAGGAGGGAGGGAGGGAGGGAGGAAGGATTAGAGGGGAAGGAGGGAGGGGAGGGAGGAAGCATTAGACAGGAGGGAAGGAAGAAGGGAGGGAAGAAGGAAGGAGAGAGGAAGGAAGGAAAGAAGGAAGGGAGGAAAGAAGGAAAGAAGGAAGGAAGGAAGGAAGGAGGAAGGACATGGAGGGAAGGAAGGGAGGGAGGAAGGGAGGAGGGAGGGAGGAAGAAGGAAGGAAGGAAGGAAGGAAGGAAGGAAAAGAGAAAAGAAGGAAGGATTGATTAGAGGGGAAAGAGGGGGAAAGGAAGGATTAGAGAAGGAGGGAGAGAAGGATGGAGGGAAGGAGTGAGGAAGGATTAGAGGGGAAGGAGGGAGGGGAGGGAGGAAGCATTAGACAGGAGGGAGGGAGGATGAGAGGGAAAAGAGAAAAGGAAGAAGGAAGAAAGGAAGGATTAGAGGGGAGGGAGAGAAGGAGGGGAGGGAGGGAGGAGTATTTTTTGAGCCACCACAACTGGCCTCTACAGAAATAAACAAACTGAATTCTGAAGTGCATCTTTAAGGAGTTTGAAGCGGAAAGCAAGCTTCACAAGGTCGGCAGACGTGGCTGCACAGCCGCTGGTGGAAGACCAAGGATTGGGGTGCTTTTTAAAAAGGGGAGCATCACAAACTCTCGAGTTTAAAAAAAAAAAAACAACTGTGAAAATCCTGGTCTTTTTGTCCTTTTTTTTTTTTCCTGCAGCTATTAGCCGGGTCCTCAGCTGCCCCAACGGACCACGGGGTGCAGTTCTCTTTCCCTGCTCCGATTTTCTGCTCCCCTGTGCAAAAACCGCCAATTTGGGGGGTGGGGGGACATACAGGGAGGAAAGCAAGAGCGGAAAAAATATGATTTGGGGAGGGGGGGTGTATCCAGGATAGCCCCTGTTCTTCGTCTTATTATTATTATTATTATTATTATTTTTCTTATTAGAAAGAAAATCTTCTGGAAAGCCTCTGGGGCTTGAGCGCTGCAGAGTTCTCCGTGCCAGAAATGTTCGATCGGTTTTGCTTTTTTTTTTAAAAAGAAACTGTAATTATAGATAGCTCTTTTTTTAAAATAAAAATAAAAATTAGTCTTACGGCATTGACGGCGCCCGGTGCTTTTGTGGAGCGCTACCTGACCTTGGCTTGCCTCGAGGGGTTTACGCCCTCGTTAATCAATAACTATAAATAACAATAAATGAAAAGAAAAGGCGGTTCGGTGTCATGGAGAAGGTGGAGGCCCAGGAAGCAGGGGATGGGGAGTTCTAGTACCGTCTAAGGACTGAGGGTCAACTGGGTGCCTTTGGGCCAATCCCCAGGTGATGGTGAGTTCTAGT